CCTTTTAGTATTGAAGCTTAAACTATTAAAGATTAAAACTACACTCTTTTGAATCAACCCATATATGTATATATACATATGTATACATATATATGAATGTGTGTATTTGTGTATATATATATATATACATATATATATATACACACACACACACATATGTGGATGTGTGTATATATGTATATCTACCTATCTTAATCCTCGTCTATGAGTGTTCTTAGAAACTAAAACATTAACTAACAGTATGCTTCAAACTAAGACTTGAAGCCACTTCTTTCTAACTTAGAGATCCATTTTCTCTAGTATGCTGTACTGCCTCTCATCTATATAGATACAAATATTTCTGAACTACCTTGCTTCCTGGTCAAAAGTTCTAAACCTTGGCATCTTATGCCACAAAATTTTCAAAATTTTCCCACTGTGAAAAAGAACGTTATTTTCCAGGTCTAGAAAAAGATTTTTTTTCTTTTTGTTATTGTTCAGTCATTTTCAATTGTGTCCAACTCTTTATGACCTCATCTGGGATTTTCTTGGCAAAAGTACTAGAGTGGTTTGCCATTTCCTTCTCCACCTCATTTTACAGTTGAGGAAATTGAGGTAGAGTCAAGTGACGTTCTCCAAGATCACAGTTAGTAAGTGTGTCTGAGGCCAGATTTGAACTCAGGAAGATGAGTCTTCTTGATTTCAGGTCTGGCAGTCTATCCACTTTGCCACTTAGCTGCCCTATCCCCCCCTTTTTTCCCTATTTTCATTTTGCTCATTAAAATATGTATTTGTCTTTAATCATAGAAATATTTTTGATATCTTAAAACAGAAACCAGAGATTAAAGCTTTTCTTTCCTCCCAACTTACCCTATTAAAATCAGTCTGTTTACTGATTATTATCCAATATCAATACTATGAATTCATTAAAATATGCTTGTTCATATAATGATAGATATATAAGAGAGGTAGGGTGGCCTGTTAGAACAGAGTATTTGATTCTGAAACTAATGTTTTTCAAATCTACTTACCTGAACCTAATCTCTCTATTGATTTTCAGTCTCACTGGCAGCTAGGTGTAGACAGAGAGGGAAATGGCAAACCACTCCAATATCTTTGTTAAGAAAACCCCAAATGGGGTAATGAAGAGTCAGACATGAATGAAAAACTACTTAACAAAAACAATAACAACAAAATCACTTCTCCAACTACCTATTGGATACCTGAAAAGTGAATGTCTTATAAATACTTATATTTAATATGCCCCAAATTGAAAAGACTTTGCTTTTTTAAACATTTACTAACCACTTACTAATGTGCTAGACACTGTGCTAAGTGATGAGAAAGGTGAAAGAAAGTGCCTGCTTTCAAGGAAGTGATGATCTAATGGGGACAGAACAACACAAAAAGAAGCTGAAAAGCGTGTTGAAGTCCTGCAGCCATGTAGCAAATGAGAATTCCCCCCTTAAGTGCAAGATCTGGGAGAGTACATCATTGTCCGTGTCAACTGGACTCACAATCTTGGTGTTAATTTGAACAGTTCTCATTCTCTCTCACCCCACCCTACTCCCATTTGTTCCCAAGATCTGTCAATTTTATCTTCATAAATTCTCTTATACTTCTTATAGTTACACTCCCTTCTCTTCTCTGACAGTGCCACCATCTTGGTCTAGGCCCTCATCAACTCACACCTAGACTATTGCAATAGCTTGTTGGTTGACCTTTTTCCCGCCAGTCTCCCCTACTCCCATGCATCCTCCATTCTGTCATGAAAGTGATTGTCCAAAATGTTAGGTCTGAACATGTCTTGCAATTTGGTCAATAAACTCCAGTAGCTCCCTGTAACTTATAGGATCAAATGTAGAATCTTCTTTTTGACATTCAAAGTCCCTTAGTACCTGCACATACACCAAACCCTACCCTGAACCTTTCTACCCTTCTTAGACTTTACCTACCTGTACATATTCTATAATCCAGTGAAACTGATCTCTTTGCTGTTCTTTGAACTAGGTACTCCACCTTTCAAATCCTTTCAAATTCCTTCAAATTCCAGTGAAAATTCCACCACTATAGGAAGGTTTTCCCAATCCTCCTTACTTTTGCTGCCATTTCTCCGTTAATTATTTCTAGTTTATCCTGTATATAAGTTGTTTGTACGTAGTTGTTTGCATTTTGTCTCCATCAGATTGTGAACTCTTAAAGAACAGAGATTGTTTGTCTTTGGCCATTCTTTCTATTCCTAAGCTTAGCACATTGTCTTAAAGATGATAGGAGCTTAATAAATGTTTACTGAATGAGTGAATGAAGCAGGAACATTGGGGTTTGAATCCAGTGTCTGACATCTGCTAACTGTATTACTATGGGCAAGTCAATTAATCTCTAAAGTGATCTAAATAATACCCCGAGCACCTAGCTCACAGGGCATCCAGACTGTACAGTGGATAGGGTCATTGGCACTGGAGTTAGGAAGACTGATCTTCCTGAGTTCTAATCTGGCCTCAGAAATTTACTAGGCATTTGACCTTGGGTAAATCACTTAATCCTGTTTGCCTTAGTTCCTCATCTGTAAAACAAGCTGAAGAAGGAAGTGGCAAACTACTCCAGCATCTTTGCTAAGCAAACCCCAAATCAGGTCACAAAGAATCAGACATGACTGAAACGGCTGGAGAACATCTACACAAGCTCCCAGCAACTGTTGAGAAGCTCAGATGAGATAATGCGTGTAAAGGTCTTTGTAAACATGAAGCATAAAGTGCTTCCGACAACTTTTAAAACAGAACTAGTCATATGTAAAAAATTATCACTACGCACATCATCAGTATACTTCTATGGGTTGACAAATGCAAGAGCAAATTTCCTAGATGCAAAATGAACTAGTTCAAACAGTCTTGCTCTTTCATGCTCAGTGGAATAACTAAAGAAAAGGATTAAGTCACAATGCACCAAAGAAGACCAAATATTTGGACTATGGCAAATGTTAGAGTTATCATCATCAACTCCTTCATACAATGTTCATCCATCTTACACAAGTGCTGGAACATGTGGACTCTGGAAGCTCACAGATAAATGGGGACACTTTGGGAAGTTCACAAAGCATGTAAGAATCAATATGAGGACATAACGGTGCAAGTTAGTGATCATAAAAATGTGATTCTGCTCTTTCCCAAAGTAGTTGGAGAAAAGCCTTAGAAAGAGTTCTAGATATATTAAATTTAGCCTAGCGATTTCTGCTTCATAATCTACCTTTTAAAAATGTTTCTTTTAAAGAAACAAAGAGAGACAAAAGCTATTAGATTATGTTTCAGGTTCCCTCTTTTGTCTGTGGTATTAATATATTTGAATGTTAACAGATTGCTACCTCTTTCCTTTTTTCATTTTTTATACACCACCTAATGGGGCCTAATGAATTCAGTGCTTTACTGCTCAATGAGCAAACTATTAGTTTATGGCAGAAATTAATAAAGCTGAAAGTTTTGAATGGGATGCTCTCCCATGAGAAATGAGCCAGTTGCCAGAGTTCCACAACACAAAGACATACATTAAGAGTTTACAAAAAGCAAAGTGGTATTAAAGCTAAAAAGACTGAGGCTCTGTGTATTAGTATACACAAAAGAAATCCTACATACAGAAAGATTTATATCAGGTGCACAAAGCTGAAAGTTGCCAACTTGTTTGGTTTTGTTATTGTAATAAGTACACTGATGAATGACAAACCAAAAAAATAAGAGAGAAAGCCAATAGGCTCCTTAGGAGACTGACAGTTATTAACATGATATCAGATTCAATTCAAGATAAATATCTACAGAACAGTGATTATAAACCAATAAGAGTTCATATATTCAGCTTCTTTAAGCAGTTTAACCATTAGCAAAGAATATCATCAGATGAAGGACAAAGATACACATATATGCAGAATTTCTAAATTATTATTTTTTTATCTCATATGTCCATCTACTTCCACTTAACCCCTTGAACAATTAACTAAAGCAGGAGTTAGCTTTTAAACTATTTTTTAAAAGTTTCCTTTCCCTGAGCCATTTTCCTTGCCCTTGTTATATTCTGCCAATCATCTACACAAGGTATATGATTTAAAATCATACTAAGACAGTAAATGGATGACCCAGAAGTTTTGATATTAAATAGTTACTCACTATTCATCAGCAAACAGGAAAAAAAATTATAGGATAAATGGAAGATGCTACTAATACTACCAGCTGTATCTTTTTTAAAAAACAAAAAAGTTGTTTATAATAGTAATAGCATCATATGTTCATTGGACAATTGATACAGTCTTTCTGTCTATTTGTTTTAATCTACCTGGATAACTGGAATTAAAGCAACAGTTTTTCTCAAGGTATATGTTATGTTGATAATATAATGATCTTAGTCCAGATGAATGCCCTCCTAATCAGGTGGAAGTCCAGAAGAAAAGAGAATATATGCTTTTGAATATGTGTGTGTATTTGCACTTATGCATGTATGTGTGCATAGTTCTTTTGTTTTAGGCAAGATCAAAGACATGTAATTCTGTAAGATTTTTATCTGGATCTTTTGACAAATAAAATACCTTTTCTTACACTTTTTTCTTCAGGAATTAAAAAAAAGCAATAAAACATAAATGAAAAGCTAATTGTTTTCTCTTCACAATTCTAAAAATGCACTATTTTCCTCTTTATCTTACTTGATTTTTTTCTTCAACAGCAATAAGCCCTCATATTGGATCATTTAGAATAATAAAATAGGAAGATTTTAATTTGGCACCCCCTAGTTCAAGCAAGTCACAAATATAGTCTTCCTCTGGGCTGACCTATGCAAAATGATGTCAAGTCTACATACATTGAATTCATTAATTTCACCAAAACAGATGCCTGTAACAAACTATGCCAGTTAGCTGCCTTTTCCAGCATCCAACTGAATGCCTCAGTCCCACTGCCAAGTGTGTAACAAGAAGATAAACACTGCAATTTCCTATCAATGGCAACTTACTGCAGCAAGAGCAAAAAGAGCAGTTAGTACAATACCTAATGCTGCTCATGCTTCCAGTCTCCGATCCAAGCTTACATCTCTCCAGTTGGCTGGCTACAATCTGGCGTTCAGCCTCCAGTTCTCGAGTCAGTCTTTCAAATTGTAGTTCCTGAAATAAAATGACCAACATTCATTCCATGAGCTATCTGAACAGGAGAATCGAAACAGTGGGATACGTGCAAAGAGAGGCAAGTATGAGGGAAGAAACAGGATTAAGGGATACTTCTTGAGAACAATGAGAAGGGTTTAAGAAATCACCAGTAGTTAATAAAACCAATCACTGATTATATGCTATAAGCATATCACTTCAGGACAGGCAATACTATAAAGTACTTTGAAGTAATAAGCAAGCTAGTCACATACATTTAAGCTTGACTAACACATTTGATGCCACCAAAGGAAAAAAATTAGCCCTTTAGCTCTATTCATTTAAGAATTTGTAGTGGTACAACTAAGGGTAGCATTTCTATACAGGCTAAGATTAAATAGATAATATAATCTTATATTTTATTAGATTAAAAAAACTAACTTTTAAATATCCATTTGTAGATTTATATAAAAAAAAACCAACCTTTCTAACCACCCTAAGAAAAAAGGTTCTTTCAAAAGCATTGTTAAAAGATTAACTCATTGTTTTTCTTCATAATGCATAATAATTAAAACAGTATCTGCAAGGTCTGAACTTTTTCCAAATATAAAACTAACTTGAACACTGTGTAAACCAGTGGCCTTATATTTTAATTTACTTCTTATATTTTCAAATGTCTACATTTGAGATATTCATATTTGATGTTGAATTAATAATAACTTTAATTCATATTTTTCAGAGCAATAGAACTTAATTTGTTTCTAGAAAAACAATACAAATTAAATGAACAAAAACACAAACTCCAATGTGTAATAAGTAGGTGAGCATTTGATATTGTGTTTTAAAAAATACTGTTCATAAAATGTCTATTTTTTATGTTAGGCATTTCATGAATAACATTTAAAAAAGAGAGAGAGAAAAGTATGTCCTAAGACACTTGCCTCAACCACCTAAAGGGATATTCTTTTTCATGGGAAGTGAATCCATATTGATTCTGTAAAACCATTCTAGGGAGAATACTTCATGATTGTGATAGACTCTTCACAATGGCTCAAGGAATCATTAGCTTTATATGAAGCTTCTTCTTAACTAAATTCAACAAACATTTATGAAATACAATCTTTGCAAAGGACTGTGTTGGTGCAGAAGAAGATACAAAGATGAATTATACACCATTCCCACACTCAGAATGTTTATTGTTTTTTAGGGCAGGTAAGATACAAATAACTATCACAAAGCAGAATACCACTGCATTAAAGAGCAACAAAATGACTTTGCAAAGTTGAAGGAAAGAGAGATAATTTCTCATTGGGAAAAATAGGAAACAACGAGAAAAGTAGCATTTTAGTAGCTTGAAAGATGGTTAAGATTTCAAGAGGCTGAGTTGGTAGGAAGATCATGACAAAGCAAATACCAAGGCATAGGGAAAAGCATGAAAAAAAGCATAAAGGTGAGAAATCAGAGCATATATTCAAGAAACAATGAGTTAGATAAGCACTATTTTGGTGTAAAGTACAAGGTGAGAACAAGTGGAAAAATAAAAAGTTAGGTTCACAAATTTTTTTTAAAAATTAAAATGCTGTTCCAACTGATGTGATTTATGCTATTTCTACATAATGCCAAACATATATTTTCAATTAATTCCCTTCAGTTAAAGATTAGTAGTCAATTTGGTAAAAAAAAAAGCTTATTTGGCATCATAAAAATAACTCAACCAGTTGTTGATTGAATTTTTTCATTTTACAAATGAATGTTTTGGCATCACTTTATCATAAATAGATTACTGGTTCATTTTATTCAGTGTTGATAACAACCAATTCAGATGGGAAATATTAGCCTCATAGTCATTAAAATAAGTTTTACCCCCAACCTACTTTATTCATTATAGAACAGGCCATCCTTTTAACTCTTATATGGAAAATAAAACTTCTACTGAAGTATAGAGATAAAAGAATGGGCAGAATTCAACAAAAGCAAAATTACAAAAATTACTAGTAGCATTCCACTGGTTTGCCTACTGTGCTAGGTCCCATATAAAGTAAAGTGACCATGAATCCTGCTTCCTGAGTGCTAACATTTTAATATGGAAAATAATAATAAAAATAATAATGATTGTAATAGTAGTAATAATGCAGATGTCACCAAAAGAATAGTGATAGCCACAGGCATACATATTTTACAACACAGATGATTACGTGAAAAGAACATAGAAATGAATACATTTGGGTTTCATATATAATTATATATGTATGTATACATACACATATAAATATACACATATGCATATACATACATACATAAATATACATATATACAATTTAGAGTAGGTTTGGAATAATGGATAGAATCTGGGTTAAGAATCAGGAAAACCTGGGTTCAAATTGCCCCTCTGGCACCAAACAGATGGGTGATGCTAGGCACTCACTGAACTTCTCTGTACTTTAAGTAGCTTCCTAGGATCTCTTTTCTAAGTCAGAGATATTTTCAATCTACTTTGGAGGAAGTGAAGAAGAAATCACAACTCCATTGCATATCTGACTGAAAATATGCAATCATATTTTCAGTAAAATAATGTATTGGTCCAATGTGATTTTATCCATATGGAGAAGGAAGATGAAAGAAATTCTAATCTTATTTGTAATTGGACAGTTTGAGAGAATTGGCTTGGGGTCATGGACAGGCTAACTGACTTGCAGAACTTCAGGGGACCAGGAGAGTTAAAGAGACGTGGTTTCCAGTCCACATCTCTTTGGCCCCTGAGTCAGCCCTCTGTCCAATATGTTATGCGTCCTATCACTTGAGCAGATTTTAGTAATTATATGATGCAAATTTTGGAAATAATGAGGGACAAGACACGAATATCCCACATTTGTTTCAAAAGAGGCCTTTGTGTTTTTGCTTATTCCTTAGCTTATGCCTAGGATCTAGCTCTCATTTCCTGACAATCTATCTGTACCTGCAAGCGTGACTTCTGAAACTTAACTCATCCTTGCAGGCCCAGCAGAGATGCTGACTTGATCGTGAAGTCTTTTCTGTTTTCCTCAGGTGGAAGCAATCACTTAGTCCTCCAATAGATCTCTCACATAGCTTGATGTTCCACTTTGTATTTAAATTTGTAAATGTGTTTTAGCTTCTTCCCCTGGCTGTGTTATCAGTCGTGGAGGGCAGGAACTGGGTCTTGTTTATACTGTAGTGATTTATACTTATCCTATAGTGGTTGTTGTAGGGTCTCAATAAATGTTTACTGAATTAAATTGAATTATTAAGAGTGATTTTTATCCAGTCACATATGGAAATACATCAAATTATCCTGTAGGTACACCATGGAAGGTAAGTACACACACACACACACCACACACACACACACACACACACACACCCCTCTATCTCTGAAATTTGATTATCAGAGACAAACTAGTGCTATTATTAGGATGAGACAGGACCTATGATTTCATTGGTATGGGGGATTTGAGGAACTTGCATCTGCCAACGGAAATCAGTACATAGCCTGCAACTTAAAGTCTAAAAGTCTTAGAGAGATGTCTGGAGTACTGGGAGGTTAATACCTTGTCCAGTGTCAAAGGCGAGGTTTGAGCCCAGGTATTCCTGATTCCACTATCTCTATCCACTATGCATTACTGTTCAATCCTTGAAAACATCTATGATTTTATCCTTTTGCCAGCACAGATTGGAATCCCCACATCTTTGTAAAGAACTTTCCTGGGGGCATCTAGGTGGCACAGTGGATACAGCACAGGCCCTGGATTCAGGAGGGCTTGAGCTCAAATCTGGCCTCAGACACATAACACTTAGTAGCTGTGTGACCCTGGGCAAGTCATTTAACCCCCATTCCCCCCCCTCAAAAAAAAAAAAGAACTTTCCTGATTTGCTATGTTTATAACCTGGTGGTCAATGTTTTAATGATCTACGCTTATCTAGGCTAATATTCAAATAACAGATGCAAATTTTGTACCAGACTCCTATCTGCAATCTTTAAACCTTAGTAGGATACGCCAGAGATTGCAAAAATACAAGTGTTCCTCCATGCTACAAAGGGTATCAGAGTAAGACTTAAGTCAAAGATGATTATGTGATGGGCCATAAATACGTTATTTTTGGAGCATACATAATCAGATTATCATTAGAAATTAATTTTTCTGAAATTATAACATAGCTATCTATGTGAATAAAAAGGTATTAAATTATAACTTCAACTTATTAAAGATGGATCTTAACTATTTTTCACCTGTAACAAATTACATGTGTAAATCTTAGGGAGTCCTTTCACATAACAGTTGAATAAAGATGATTGGACAACTTTAAAACTTGTATTTTATAGCTTCACAATAACTTTGCATTAGTTACATCATACTCATTTTTCTTTTTATTGTGAAAAAAGTAGATACAAACACTCTTAAAATATGTTTTCTCACAGCTATGCTCAACATGGAAAGTAAACAAATTGGTGTTGTTTCCTGGCATTAAAAGGCCCCTCACTATCTCAATCACCCTGTCTCCCTGGTTACACAATTTCCTGCTATGTATGATATCCATTAGTCAAATTGTATGACTTTATGACCTCTATGTATTGTGCTTTCTTGTTTTGCTTCTACTATTCTCTAAACTTTATTGTTTGTTTGTTTGGCAACGCAATTGGGGTTAAGTCACTTGCCCAGGGTCACACAGCTAGTAAGTGTCAAGTATCTGAGGCTGGATTTGAACTGAGGTCGTCCTGACTCTAGGACCAGTGCTCTATCCACTGCACCACTTAGCTGATCCTCCCCTTAAACTTTAAGTATCCTCTTTTGTCCATCATTCAAATGCCCATCCTCCATGAAGCCTTCCATGATGTTTCCATTCAGTAATGACCTTCCTCCCCCCAGACCTGCATGGGAGAGTAGGGAAGGATGAAAAGGGAAGGGAATAGGCATTTATTAAGCTCCTCCCATGTGCCAGGCACTTTACAAATATTTCCATATCTGATTCTCACAGTAACTTTAGGAGGTAGGTGCTACTATCAT